TTTCACCTGGAAGACACAATGACGACGACACTGTCAGTACAGTCTAGTACACACATAGCGAAATCGGCGGGACGCAACAATCTTTTTGTTATGCACGGATTTCGCTATGTAAATGTGTCCACTACAAAAGCACAGATACTCGATGACATCAAAATATTCTCTCTCTCTCTCTCTCTCTCTCTCTCTCTCTCTCTCTCTCTCTCTCTCTCACACACACATTTTCTGTCTCTCTCTCTCTTTTTCTCTTCCTCTCTCTCTCCCTAAAAGGGGATATAAGCATGATCTTATGCACAGTAGAATTGTAAATGAGCTGATTTATCAATGTCATGCTCATACTGTACCGGAACAACATAGGGGGAACTGCTGCTTTTTCTTTTCTCATCCTTACTATCGTCATTTTTTCCTCTACTTCTTTTGTATATTTGTCACTTTGTTGTGAACTGCCATTTCCGGGGTGCTACTGCATAAGGTCATATGAGCGAGAAGGGGTTGTGTCTACAGAGAAGTCTTTACAGGGAATCAGACTTGCTCTGCTCACCTCTCCAGCTTCAACAGCACAAAGTGTGTTTCGACTATCAAGGCACTCCAGAAATAGCGGGTCACAAGCGAGTGACAAACTTAGAAAAGAAGTAGAGGAAAATGGCGATAGAAGTAAGTATTAGAAAAGAAAAAGCAGCATTTCCCTGTTGCAGTTCAGGCACATTTATGAGCATGACATTGATGAATCAGCCCATTTACCGTTACAATCTTACTGTGCGTAAGAACTCGAGATGGTTAATATCTCCCCTTTGGGAATGGCCTAAAGACATTCCAGTCATTAACACGGCCCCGAGGTCAGAGTGAATTCGAGTCTACCCACACAGGTGTTCAGAGTGGATGTTTCACCTTAGCTTAGTTTTTTAGTTTTAGTAAGAGTTTTACGACGCTCGCAACTGCATAAGGTCATATGAGTGCCAGAAGATTAGAGGTGTTACAAGAGAGTAACAAACATAAAAAAGAAGAAGGGGAGATAAGGACGATAGATGTTTGATAGGAAAGAAGAAGCACACCACACCAGAGCACCCGTCAACTCTCACTCACCTTAGCTGCAAGTGTATAGAAAAGTTTTTTGTTATTTTTCTATAAGCAGAATGTGCAAAATTCTGTAGATTTACACCTCTTGCAACACTGTAAGGCTTTTGAAGTGGCAGTACCTCCCAATTTAGCGGCCATCTTTGAGAGGACGTCCAAGGGAAATGGGTAGATTCGTGCAAAGTGACTTTCTCAAGAACACAACCTTGGACAGGGCTTGGTCTCGAGCCCACGATCTGTCTGTCTGCCTGTTTGTCTGTCTGTCTGTCTGTCTGTCTGTCTGTCTGTCTGTCTGTCTGTCTGTCTGTACACCCAGCGACCTACCTGTAGTCGTGGAGACACCCGCCCCATGTTGCCAAATCCAGAGTCCAACTTCAAGTTGCCCTGAGGGAACAGAAAACAGAAACAAATCATCGCTACCTTAGATTTACAAGTTCCATCTGACAGTTTTTTGGCCGTTTTGAAGGGGAGATAGATGTTTGATAGGAAAGAAGAAGCATACCACACCAGAGCACCCGCCAACCACCCACTATTCGAAATCGTTATCAAGATACTCACACAATAAATTATTGCATTAATAAAAGCTTGACATCTTGTGAATCTAAATATGTTTGACGTCAAGTTTCGTTTCTCCAAACTGGGTACTGAGGGAACAGATAGTAGCCTACCTACCTATCTATACACTTCACTTTTCTACTATCGTTCTCTGCTCTCTAGTGGATCACTACCTTGTCGTGGTTAAAGAGCTTGTGTGCCTCAGTGACCCCAAGAGCTACGCTGGCTGGAGCTAATTCTCCTGGTAGAGCCACCCATGCCAGACAGGTGGACGGGTAGAGGTCAGGTAGAGGTCAGGTAGAGGTCAGGTAGAGGTCAGGTAGAGGTCAGGTGGAGGTCAGGTAGAGGTCAGGTAGGGGTCAGGTAGAGGTCAGAAGGGGTCAGGTAGAAGTCAGGTAGAGGTCAGGTAGGGGTCAGGTAGAGGTCAGACCAAGGACCTCACTGTATAACCTCCTGGGTCAGACATAGCGTGATCCCACGGCCCTCCAGGTTTCCGAGGTTCAGCTCAGGGCGAACAACCCAGACTAGTAAGAATTATATGTGTCACGGCACGGCGCAATCAGGCGCTCGTCAAATTTGGGGCATATAGAGTTATTGATATAATCTTAAAACTTGTTCATTTGTCTTGCTTTTGATGGAAATACTATCCATCTATCTTCAATAGAAGTTGAGATACTTTCGATTCAAGGAGACGGGGGTCACATGGTGTCAGAGGTGAAATTAGAAAGAAAATGGACGCCAAAGTTTGGGAACTTCCAAAGCTTGAGAATCCCTGTAAACTGTAAATTCCTATTTTGTGTACCATTAATCAACATTTTTCCGTAAAAGTCAAACGGCAGTGTGTGTGTTTTTTAATTGACACAAAAAGTGTTGAGCCAACACATAAAAATTCACTAAAAAGTGCCTAACGGCAAGAAAAATGCAGTTTTCTTTGGTTTCTTTATTTTGACGAGCGTCTGATTTCACCACGATGCCTCACATATGTTACGGAAACAGCAACAAAGAGAAACCATGTTATTTCTGTGTGTGATGGACCTTCAGACTGAGTCTCTTGGGACTCGTATGAATGCTGGCAGTAACCATTCGTGGGAGACGTTGACCAAGATGGCCCAAAACAGACAGCTGGAGGTCTTTTGTGGGGGCTCTCGTGGCCTAGAGGTTAAGGTGTTGGCCTCTCATTCAAAGGTCCCGGGTTCGAATCCGGGTAGCGACCGAAACATTTTCTTCTCTAAAATTGTCTCCTTTCATCCCCTTTCCTGCTCTCTAGCAATGTTCTGTTGT